TTTTTTTTTTTTGAGACAGAGTCTCAAGCTGTCGCCCTGGGTAGAGCGCTATGGCATCACAACTCACAGCAACCTTAAACTTTTGGGCTTAGGCGATTCTCTTGCCTCAGCCTCCCAAGTAACTGGGACTACAGGTGTTCACCCCAAGTCCCAGCTATTTTTTTGTTGTTGATCTTGCAGTTGTCATTGTTATTTTAGCTGGCCAAGCCAGGTTTGAACCTACCAGCCTCAGTGTATGTGGCCGGTGCCCTACCTACTGAGCTACAGGTACCACCAAGATCAAGGATTTTTTGTTTTTCTTTTTCTTTTTGAGACAGAGTCTTAAGCTGTCAACCCTGGGTAGACTGCTGTGATGTCATAGTTCACATCAACCTCCAACTCTTGGGCTCAAAATGATTCTTTTACCTTCGTCTTTCTATTTTTAGTAGAGACTGAGGTCTCAATTTTGCTCAGGCTGGTCTCAAACTCGTGAACGCAAACTATCCACCCCCGTCAGCCTCCCAGAGTGCTAGGATTATAGGCATGAGCCACCACGCCCAGCCTCAAGGATTTTTTTAAAAATTATTTAAACTAAATAGACCTGGTTAAAATATCAGAAATGATTACATCTGTAAATATTATCATGCTTTCTGTTTTCCCTGACTGGGAATCATCAGGGTGTATCTGTGTGTACTGACATTCACATATATGTATATGATAGTTGTCAGTGTAGTTAATGTACATCAAAAGTGTCTATTGTTAATGCACAGGCACCAAAAATTCATTCTCCTATAATATGCACATCTTTCTTTGATCAACTGAATGAATGAATGAATATTTTCATGGTGGCATTAGTAATAAAGGTAAAAAATGAAAACACACCAAAAACATACAACAACCATGCAACAGTTATGAATAGCAGATTAGAACACAATTTAATATGAAAAATAATTATGGGGAGTGGGATAGGGGTTACTGTTTAATGGGGACAGAGTTTTAGTTGGAGATAATGAAAAAGTTCTGGAAATGGATGATCATGATAGTTGCACAACAATGTGCATGTACTTAATCCCCACTGAATTGTGAACTTAAAAATAATTAAAATGGAAGCCAGGCTTGGTAGCTTACACTTTGGTAGCTTACACCTTGGTAGCTTACTGTGTGTGCATCTGCAGTTCTAGCTACTTGGGAGGCTGA